ACCTCTGAATATAAAAAAGTCAGTCTCTGCTACACTTAAAGTACCTTCCTTATATAAAGCAAGTTTGCAGAGGCGAAGTCCCTCTCCCACCGAAACAGCAAAGATTACCAAAATTATAAAAGCACATTCGATTTAAACAAACACCCTTAACAACCTTACCGGTTATAAAACTATGACTGAGGACTTTTACAGACACATCTTAAGCAAAGAAATAGGACAAACAGGAGCACATACTGTATATACTGTCTCTATGGATGGCAAGGACAGGCAAAGCCAGTCTGAAGGGATGGATACCAGAAGGTAGTTCACTTGGGATGGGAGCAAAGAATTACTAGAAAGGATGGTAGAAATGCTGTATATCTTTTTTGGGGGACTACATTAATACTTCTATTGTAGCTAAATTGTACTTCAATTTAAAAACGTTATGTCCTCCAATAAAGCAAACCTCTAAAGGGGCAGCAGCAGAATTGAGTGTTCTTTCTGCCACGTGATTGGAAGGCAGTCCATCAGGCAGACTCAGAGTAGAATCACGGCTCTGAACTTCACGAGCTTGAGCACTGCTTCTAGGAGATGAACCGATGCTCTGCCACGGCCCTGCAGACTGCTAGGTGCTTAGCTTCATCTGGCATTGGCACTCACAGAAGAGGGACGGACGCAAGGAAGGTGGCTTAACTGTAGTAGGAGTGGGGCTGGCTGGAAAACTGGGTGGACTTTGCAGAGGTGAAGTGAAGGTGGAGCTGTCACAGGGATTTTGTAGCTCTGTTGAGCAGAGCACAGTGTAAAACGGGATATAGTGAAAAGCAGGTCTTTCATCGTCTTTGAAATTTCTATTTATTTATTTATTTAAATTTGATCAGAGCGCGACAGAGTGAGAGAGAGAGAGAGAGAGAGAGAGAGAGAGGGAGAGAGAGAGAGAACCCACCAGCGCCAGAACTTGACCACACCACAATCCTTTCTCCATTCTCTTGGGATTTTGAACATGTGCTCACATACCTGGTGTGTTTTTCAAGCTGCTGGGTCTGGGCCTCGAACTACAGTTGGCTATGTAGAATCCAGCTGCCTTAACCACCATGTCACCTGGCTGGCCCCAAATGAATTCATTTATTTTTTAAACCAAAAAATTATTTCTATGTCTCCTTGTAGTTAAGTCTTATTTGAGATTTTTATTTGTAAAGTAATTATCAATGGGAAAAAAATTGTAAAACCATGGAATAGAGGAAATCAAAAACTCCCTTGAAAGTATTAAAAGTCGATTAGACCATGCTGAAGATCGAATCTCTGATGTAGAAGATAAAACCTCTGACCTAGAAAGAACCACAAAGAAGATAGAGAAAATAACTAAAAAACACGAGGATAATAGACAAGAAATACTAGATTCCATAAGACGCCCAAATATCAGAATAATTGGTATCCCAGAAGGGGAAGAAACCAATAACGGCATGGAAAATCTATCCCATCAAATCCTGGAAGATCTGGCATTGGCACTCACAGAAGAGGGACGGACGCAAGGAAGGTGGCTTAACTGTAGTAGGAGTGGGGCTGGCTGGAAAACTGGGTGGACTTTGCAGAGGTGAAGTGAAGGTGGAGCTGTCACAGGGATTTTGTAGCTCTGTTGAGCAGAGCACAGTGTAAAACGGGATATAGTGAAAAGCAGGTCTTTCATCGTCTTTGAAATTTCTATTTATTTATTTATTTAAATTTGATCAGAGCGCGACAGAGTGAGAGAGAGAGAGAGAGAGAGAGAGAGAGAGAGAGGGAAAGTGAGAAAGCAACCACCAGGTCCAGGACTCGAAACGTGGTCTGCCACGTGGGAGTCTAGCGCCCTTGACCACCACGCCACCTGCCGGCTCCTCTAGAGGAAGTACTCTAATTACTTACTGATGTCAGTGAGCATGGCGTTGTCCTCTGTTGATGTTTGTCTTTAAGTGAAGCCTTGTAGTGTTCTCCCTGCGGTGTCGTACAGTCTCGTATAGCTCATGCCTATAGTATTTTCTACTCGTGTGTTTTTTAAAATTTAAATTTTTATTTTTATTCTGGTTGAGGAAAACTGTTGGTTTTGACTGTCCTTGTGTTTGGGCCATCATGCTTAAGTCAGAACTCTGTTCCCGGCCTGTGTCTTGGTTCTTCCTCCCTCTCTTGGTTGGCAATATCTCCAGCTGGTCTGTGCTAGATCGCTGCACCAGCCCCAAGCCTTACCTCTCACCTGCCAACTCAGAGGGACAAGGAGGTGGTGCCTGCAGAAAACTCCCCAGAGCAAGGAGGTGCTTTTCTTCTCAGCGGCTCAGAGAGGGCCCAGCCCATCGCTCAGCCAGTGCTGGTGGGGGTGTGGCTTAGCCTTTCCTGAAGTGTCTGTCACCCCACTTCTGAGTGGTGTTGGGATGGATTTGCTTCCCCTGAGCTGACCCTTGCTCATCTCCCAGGCTGCTGGTGGGGAGGTGTGGTCATGTCATGCCGCTGGGATTCTTCTGGAAATGAGTAGGCCCTGTTCGGGACCCCGACCAAACACCCCTCAGGACAGTCAGCCTAACCAGCGCTCGGTGAAGGTACAAGGCAGCCTGCCTCTGACCTGTGCTTTCCTCCGAGTAAATCCTACTTGCGCGTATTGTTCTTCGAGTATCCTGCTGCGTCCTGATCTGCCGAGGTTTTGGGTTGGATCTTTTCATCTGTATTTGTAAGTTGGATTTGTCTATGTTGCAAAAAGTCTTTTTAAGAGTGGGAGTTAATGCAGTGGCCAGGTCCTGGTGCCTAAGGTTATGCAGTCCTTGTGTGACCTTGGAGAGGTCGTCCAGCCTCTTTGAGGCCATCCTGCACTTCCGTAATTGTAATCATAATCGTGGCAGCGATCACAGCCCTGACCCAGCCGAGCTGTTTGAGGGCGAAGTGAGCAGACACGCAAGTGCTCCTTAAACATAAAGCAAGTTAGAACCTCGTGTTGTGCTGTACATTCAAGGCTTTGAAATTTCTGTGTTGCTTCCAATGAAGAGACAGGTTTGGAGAACAGTAACAACTGTGTTTCTTCTTAGCTTTCTTCATCATCTGCAGTCAGAAAACCAGAGCTATGCAGAGGGAGAGGCACTGGGAACAGATTGTGAACATTGCACTGCTGGTGTTTGGATATTAGGTTCTTGCTTTTCATAATATCCTTAGGGAGTGGGGGAAGACTTGATATTTTCTGAGATTGCTGTAAAATGCAAGTTATTGCGGGTACTATCGCCCAATTATTCTGTACTTATTTTACTTAGACTTTAGTAATTGGAAAAAGATTAGATGTCAGGACCTTGTATTTTGTTGATTATATTACCGAAGTCTTCTCTTTAATCACTTCTTTTATTCCTCATATTAATCATTAGCTCCGAGCTGTTAGGAGAAGAACCTAACGGTGGGTTCCTAACTTAAAGGGAAGAAATAATTGCTTCCGTTTCAGTGGGATTGGACAAGTGTTGCTATGCCCACAAATTGAAATGAAATCTCTAACCATTCAAGGCATGTGGATGAGACACTCAAGGAGACTCCGAAGGTCAGACAGGATCCAGTCTGGTTACCCTTACTCCTAGGCCCCCACTGTGCCCTTCTCAGCCCGACTGAGGCTCTGGGCCTTGTTCCCCTCCTCCCTGCCTCCGGCCAGCCCCTCCGCACTGATGGCTTCGCACTTGTTGGTATTTGTAGAAGCGGCCTTGGGGACGGTGTTACCGTGGTGTGTGTGATACACAGACAGGCCTCTCCGTGAGCCAGTCTCTGAAAACCTCCACTAAGCAAGCTGCTTCGCATCGGTATTTTTAAACAGCAAGTGTGAGCCTGAGATGGGGTGACAGAAACAAAATCCAATTAAACCATTGGGAGAGGGAGGGGGAGGAAGAGGGGGAGAGGGGGAGAGAAGGAGGGAGGTGGGCCCCCACTTCACTGCTGGGGGAGGGTGGTGATGGTGCCCACCAGTCGTCAGAGCTCTAGGAAATGCATCCTGCAAACATGTCTTTGAGATTTCCGAGACTGCCGTGTGAGTCAGGGTAGCAGGCATTTGACTTTTGATCCAGGAGGGCACTTCTCTCATATGTTGAGAATAATCAGAACCTGACAGTTCTACCATTCAGGTTTCCTTTGTGGGGCTCCCTGGCCGTGATCACACTGGTGGAGTATGTTGAAGTATTGGGGGAAGTTTGCTAACTTTTGGTAAACTCTGTTTTCCCTGTCCCTTTCTTTCTTTCTTTCTTTTTTTTTTTTTGGCCAACAGAGGAATTACGGAAGTTGAGCTGGTCCGGAATCCCTAAGCTGGTTCGTCCGATCACATGGAAGCTCCTCTCAGTAAGTCTCCGGCCTCACAGGCCTCTCCTGTAGTTCAGCAGCCTCTGACCCCAGCCGGGGCCAGCCCAGCCTCGCGGCCCTGCCTTTGGTGCACCATGATGCGGTCTCTGCCTTCTCCGTTCTTTGCTTAATTTCAAGCTTGGGTTGACAAGGCTGGCAGAAAATGAGGGTAGGTAATAATTTATGACAGCTGTATTCTTTTTGTTTTATTATTTAAAAAAAGCTTTATGTGTTCATACCTGTGATAGAGAGAGGTTCTAGCACAGAAGGTAATTTCAGCGCTGAGGAGTTGAAAACCGTATTTCAGATATCCCTGAATGTGTTGAACACAGGCAGCTAATTTTGACTTAGCGTTTGTTGTTGTTTCAGTGATGTTCGGCTCTCTGTCTCTGTGATGGAGGGTAGAGTCTGGTTTCTCAGCTACCCGGGGCCTTCCTGAAAACCGGGGTAGAGGACAGTTAGGTCTGACTTCACGTACTTACCTCCAGCCGCATGTTGGCCTCCAGCTTGGCTCTGCTGAAAATTTTAGAGCAGTTTGTAGACAGCTTTCTTTTTCCTTTTTAAGTCATTTTTGTAGCTAAGTCAATAGGAAACTCAAGTATTTACCCTAAATTGGGTATGACTTTCAGTTTTTAAAAGACTCTTTCTTGCTAATGAGTCCCAATAAATTTGCAGCTTTGTACCTCATAACCCTAAATGCAGATACAGCTCTGAACAGTGAATATTTATTGATTAAATATTCTCTTGCAATTAAAATTAGACCTGCTGTGATTGCTTATATTTTTGTTCTTTGTTTTTTATTTTAAGTGTTTATATCCAGTTTTCAGATGTCCTCCAAGACAGGCTACGAGCTTTTCAGAGGGGTTCATGGGCAATTTTGGGAACACCTTCAAGGTGCTCTGTGGCAGGTTTATGTTTAGCAAGGGAGAGCTGCCCTGAGGGGGAAGTCTGCACGAGAGGCTGTACTGTTCTTTCCCTTCAGTTCTCGGACTCTGCAGGGCACAGTTCTGATGTCCTGATCTGTGCCGCACGGTGACCGACATGGAGGTGGACACTGGCTCTGGTGGGAGGGCAGAGGAGCAGAAAGGGGGTGCTGGGCAGTCCCCTGCTCTGGTTGTGAGTGGGGCCAGGTGGGTGGGGGTACCCAGGCGTGCTGGCAGGGCAAGTGAAGACGGCTGGGCACTGCCAGCACACTTCCTCAGATAGCCATTGTTGATCACAGGCTGTGCTGTGGAGCAGAGATGAAGGCTGGGGTGCTGACCCCCATCGGGCGATGGCACCACAGTCTGAGCTGCATTACCTGTTGATGTGCAGGGTGCGTGTCAAGACGTGAGGTGTGGGTGCATGGTGTGGGGGCAGTGTGCGTATGAGGGCAGCTTGGCAGGAGAGGTGATGTCATCCCTGGGCTGTGCGAGGCCATGGCAGGTAGGGAAGGGCGGGGGAGGACTTGCAGGCACAGGGGACTGGGATGAACGCGGTAGTTCTCAGCCTGTCTTGGCCAATTAAAGATGGATTAAGACATTCATGGGGAGGGGGCACCAGGGAAGGTCGGGGTGACTCCAGGGGACTGCAGACTTACAAGGATGCCATGCCAGACTCCCCTGAGGAAGCCGAGGTGCCTACATGACATCTTGGAAGAGGTGCTGGCAGTCTCTGGGTGACATAGGCGGGAAGTTGTAGGACCCAGGGGTCACCAAGTGGTAGCATAGGCAGGGGCAGAGGCTGGGTGAGCTGCTCTTTAGGACCCGCTGGGAGGGAGTGTGGAGTCAGCAGAGGTCAGTAGACCCCCACTCCCAGGCGTGCTGCTTGGCTCTGTCCTGGGTCTGGGAGGGGAGTAACACAGCTGAGCCCCATCATAGCACACCCCCCTCCTCAGAGCTTCATGCCTAGAGTCAGACACGTGTTCACAGACGTGTGTGTCAGCTGAACTTGCTATGGAAAGTAGTTAGATTAATTAAGATATCTTGTGAATCAATGAAATGTATATGGAGGGAAGGAATGGAAAGCAACCGTAGACACCAGAGACACTGTGGGAGGAGGGTGGGAAATGGCCGAGGGTGAGAAATGGGGCGGGATTTTGTTTCATATATATGTATGTATATATATACTTCCTATATATGTATGTGTATATATACTTCATATATATGTATGTGTATATATACTTCATATATATGTATGTATATATATACTTCATATATATGTATGTGTATATATACTTCATATATATGTATGTATATATATACTTCATATATATATATGAAACAAGGAGTGGAAAATCATTTGTTGATGATGTGCATGACTAAGCCACTGTGCAGTGTACTCTGGATGGGAAATCGCATTTATGTGCTGTGCTGATGTTCAGTGAATGAATGTAAAATAAATAAATAAATAAAAAGAAACAAAAGCTGTGTTTTGTAAGAGTTATTGTTTGGTTTGCCCATTCATCCCGTTGCTGTTTATTGAGCATTTTCTACGTTCCAGTTGCTGAGTTCAGTGCTGACATAGAGGAAGGGAGAGAGACCAAGTCCTAGTACCCAGGACTAGGACAGTGAGGAGGGTGCCTGCCCTTCCCTCACCGCCTCAGGACATAGGGTCTTCCCGCACAGAACCAGAGCCCACTCAGGGTCTTCCTATCCCTTGCGAGGTGCCTGCTCTGTGCCGAACCACCTGCCCCCGAGGAGGGTCCCACGGAAGCTGGGTCTGTTGCCAGAGTGTGAGTTGGTCACTCGGATACTGGGCAGTCCCCTCCAGTGTCTGACCTGGAAGTGACGTCGGGCCTGAGGGACTGGCTCCTGAGAGGGAGCTAGAGTTGGGACCAGGAGATGTGGGAGGAGAGTGACTGGAGGCTGCAGGGGTGGGGGAGAGAGTCCTCAGCGAGATCAGGAAGCCAGCTTGGCTCTCCCTCAGGGCACAGGCATGCACGGTGTCCTCCCCGTGGTCCGGCCTGTACTGGTGCTCAGCAGGAGCCGCTCAGCTGGGAGCAGCCCCGCACAGTCACAGTCGGGCCGCACATGGCTCTGGGCCTCTAGTGAGGGGCGAAGAGCTACCGTGGTCATCGCTGTCCCCTGTGCCTGCCAGTCATCCCTCCCCTCCCCTTCCCCTCTCCTCCTCCCCTCCCCTCCTCCCCTCTCCTCCTTCCCCACCTGCCTTGGCCTCGCTGACTCCAGGTGGGACGGCACCGCCTCTGTGAGGCTGTCTTCCCACCACTGCATCCTCCTTGCCCTTCGAGGGTGCTAGTCAGACAGGGGCAGGGCTGAGGGGAAGGTCGGCATGGTGGACGCCGTCTTCCATCCTCCACTTGCTGCCCCGAGGCTCACTCTGTGTCTCTTGTCCAGCCGTTACTCCCGGCACAGTTGGCCCGTGTGTTTCTGTAGTCAGAGATCTGGGGAGCCTGGTAATTGACGCTGACCACTCGTCCTGATGCAGCGAGCAGTGCTCACATGTCTGCTCGTGGCCTGGCCCTCTGCAGGGGCTGGGGTCACAAGGATGTTTTGGAGAATGGTGGGGGATCCTAGCAAGCAGTGGGCCATGGGTGTGTGGAAAAGGGCTCTCCCAGGGCAGGCTGCCTTTTGGTCATTCTCCACATCCAGGCGTTTCATCCTGGCTTCCCATTCGGCCTTGGAGAGCCTTTACAGGTCCTGATCCCGGAGCACATGGAGCAGAGTCAGTCACCGGGGTGTGTGTTGTCTGCAGTGAGCTGTGGACGTGGCGTCCGTGGAACACCTGCCCTGTGGCTGGGCAGCGCTGGGGCTGCAGGGATGTCCTTGACCTTGACCTGTAGCTGCACATTCGTATGGCCAAGGCACTCAGAAAGCTGATACATAGGTTCCTGGGTTCCCCTGTGCCCAGGGTTGGGGCTGCTGCTCTGAGACAGCCGGGCCCCAGCAAGTCAGGATGGGAAGCAGGTAACGGAGATCTCGGTGACTGAGGCTGCGCTGCGGTGTGGCCCTGCTGAAGGCAGCACCTCGGCTGAGGTGTCTGGACAGGAGAGTGGGCTGGGGCCTGTGGGGAGGCACTGGAGGAGGATGACACTTGCTGAGAGCCCTGAGCGTGTGGCTGGGGACTCAGCTGAGTGAGGCCCAGTGGTGGTTTGTCCTGCCCGCCAGTCCTTTCAGAACCAAGAGATTAAGAGCTGCTCAGAATTGAGAAGAACCTGCCTTTTAAAGACAGATCACTGAACCAAATAGCGGGTGGGCCTCTTCCCAGGCCTTGGAGCTCCTGGCATCCGCCCAGTGCACCCCTGCTTCAAGAACATGGTCCTGGCATTTGTGAAAAGTTCTTAACTGATGAGTGGGAAATGCTACCTCGAAGGAACACTTGTGATTCGTAAAGAACCAACACACCTCGTCTAGGGCCGGTCAATAAGCCACCAGCCTGGCTTTGTCATTGGCATTCCCTCCGGCCAGGGTAGTCACAAACACTAGTGCTGCCGTGAGTCGTATTTTTGGCTCTTTTTTAATAACTATTTCAGAAATATTGAACAAAAACTAATTAAACATTTCACATTCACGCTAGGGAGTATAATGGCTGGGAATGATAAGCCATACCTGGTATCATCTTCTCTTCTTTCAATGTATTGAGGTAGGTTTGCATATGAACACGGTGGGAGGGAACCATTTGATTTCTGTGTCACTGGGACAATTTAGATAAAGTATATGCATGCATTGTTTTACATTTATGATTAGTGTTTTTATAGCATGCTAATACAGCAATTAAGTTTTCTGTAGTTCTGTCATTTAAAATTCATTGCATACTTGAATATATTTCATTTGCATAATTTCTAGTCTTGCTTAATTATCGAAAGGCCCCAACTTGCACATGTGTGTTTTCCTTTAGGAATGGAGTGTCTGGAGGGTGTGGGGTTTTACTGCCCGTGCTCTGACTGAGACACACCTGCCTCTTGCATTCGTGTTTCTATAAGTTAAGTTAAAACTCAGGAATGGGGCGATTCTGAGAGTACACGTTCACATCTGCTGAGGACTGTTTGGTGTCACTGCATG